GAGTTCAAATTTAGCTTCTATAATTTGTTAGCTTTTTAAAAGATTAATAACTGTCCTAAGGTTATAAATTTCAGTTTTTGTACCTGTGAAATGGAGACAACATCTATCTAATTAACCTACAAGGTCAGCAAAGTATGAGTTTTAAAGTACTTTAAATGATTCAGAAGATAGCAGACAAGTAGGTGGAAGCTGAGCCCACTTGCTTGTGCCCTCAGCACAAATTTTTGGCTATCTTCCAAAAAGTGACCTGAACAATCAACAGCATCCCAGCTGATATAAATTTTGAAGCCAAGGAGTAGAGAGGATGTTCTGTACCATCTGCACCTCTACAACAGTATAGATTGTGGGTGGTGTGACTCTCAGTCAGGCAGCCATAGGGAAGAGCCCACCAAGGAATGATGGAACAGAAACCAAAACCCAATTACCACAAGAGAGCCTACATAAATGGCACAAAGGGCATCCCAAGAGCATCCAACTCAGAAGATCAAGGAGACTGTATCACTGAGTGCCACAGGTCTCCTACCACAGAAGGCCAACCACGAAGACAGGGAGTCAAAACAGATCAATCCAATATGCAGACACAAAATGTCACCTAAAATAGGGAGACAAAGAAACCACCCCCAATTGAAAGAACAGGAGGAATACCCCAAAAGAGTGCTCAATAAAATTGAGGTAAGCAATCTATCAGGCATAGAGTTCAACATAATGGTTATAAGGATGCTCAAGAAACTCAGGGAGAACTATAAGGAACTCTATGGAAACTAAAAGGAACTTAGTGGAAACTATATCAGCATGGAAAAGGACATAGAAACTATGAATAAGAACCAGAAGGAAATACAGAATACAATATCTGAACTGAAGAATATACTAGAAGGAATTAAAAGCATGCTAGAGGAAGCAAAGGATTAAATCAGCAAGTTGGAGGACAAGGTAGAAATAAAACGCATAGGCAGGGCAATAAAACGAACAAAGACAAAAACAAACAAAGATAGTTTAAGGGAGCTGCAGGACAACATGAAACATAATCATATCCACATCATAGGAACAACAGAGGGAGAAGAAAAGGAGGAAGGGATAGAAAATCTGAAAAAGTAAGGGCTATCACTTCTAGGTCTTTTGGATAAGATCCAGTGAAAAACAGCCAAAAACTTCCCTAACTTGGTGAGGGAAAAGGTCATGCAAGTCCAAGAAGCACAGAAGATCCCAATCAAGATGAACCCAAAGAGGCCCATTCTAAGGCACATCATGATTAAAATGGTAAAACTTAAAGACAAAGAGAGAATCTTAAAGGCAGAAAGAAACAAACAGCTAGTAACATATAAAAGAGCTCTGCTAAGGCTATCAGCTGATTTCTCAACAGAAACAGTAAAAGCCAGAAGGGAATGTCATGAAATATGCCAAGTAATGAAAAGTAAAGGCCTGCAACCAAGGCTACTTTACCCAGCAAGGCTCTCAATTAAACTGGAGGGGAAATAAGTAGCTTCCCAGGCAAAAAAACCAGGCTACTTGAGTACAACTCCACCAAATCAGCTTTGGAAGACATGCTAAAGGGACTGCTTCAAGATGATGAAGAAAAAGAGAGGGGGAGGAACACAGGTACAAAAGGAAAAAATGACAATGAATAAGTACCTATCAATAATAACCTTAAATGTAAATATATTCTAAGCAAATGGACAGGAAAGAAAAGCTAAGTAGTTTAGATGTAGTTTGTTTAGATGTAAATGTTAACATAGTATTCTGATAAAATTTTCAACTGAGCAATAAAAAAATTCATTCATTTAAGAATTATTTATTCAGTATCTTCTGTGTTACACTATAGAGACAATAAAAATGATAGTTATCCTTGTTATCAGAGAGGGGAATTTGGGGGGAGATATAGTTTTGGTTTCTGCCAATACTTATTCAGGACTTTCTAGATGCTGGATATTGTTCTAAACACTATACACATAGTAACTCTTTTAATCCGTAAAAACCCTGTGAGAAAAGGTAATATTTTAATCCTCATTTTACAGATGAGAAAGATAAGCACAAGAAGCATGGAAACCTGTGCAAGGTCAGACACCTAGTGAGTATTAGAAGTATTAGAGTCAACTCACAGATTCAGGCAAGTTAGCTGTATCATTGTTATGCTGTATCTCACGTGGGCAGAAAAAAACACACATATCATTTATAATAACTAATGCTGGCTAAAAATACTAAAGTAGGAAATGATGGGTGGGGTCACCAAGAAAGTCTTTATGATATGAACCCAAAACTAGATTCAAATTTATTTGAAAAGTTTAGACCAAACCCCCCCCCAAAATATTTTCTGCATGTACTTTTTTGAGCATGCAATAGGTATCACCTTATTGAAATATCACATATATAAAAAAATACAAAAATCCCATATTAACTTGTAAAATATCTCATTCAGTGGGTTCTCTTTTATAGACTAGATTTAGTGTATTTTGCTGTGTATAATGCATATTTTTTTGCCCAAACTTTTGAGTGAAAGAAAAATAAGGGTGCACACTACACATGGGTAGTATATAAATGTTCTTAATTCTTTTATTTATGCTTACGCATTAAACGTATAACTCCTTTAAAATTCTTTTATAATACAAGTTATAAAATTTCTTTATAATACAAAAACCAAGTATCTAAATATACATAAATAAAAATTGAATTAGAAAATTAAAAGAAAGATTTTTTTCCCTAAGTTTGGGCCAAAAACGTGGGTGTATATTATACATGGGAAGCACATTACATGGCAAAATACTGTATTTCTTAATTGAAACAGAGCAAAAACTGACTTACAGCAATGCCTGACTGCCTATCCACATACCAATCTTAATATAATCCATTTATTTCAAAGTATTATCACTTAATTTAATTACCATTTAATTGCCATTATCCCATGATCAACACCCCTGAATATTTCAGCACAGGCCCATTATTAAGAAAAATAAATTGAAATCAAATAATACACTGGTGTCTGTCCAGAAAGTATCTAGCCATGTAGTATGAAAGATAGAGACATTTACTGAAGACCCACGATACAAGAAACACTGTATATAGGACAATGACACCTCAGTCCCCTTCAAAGTAGGTACCTTGGAATCTCACACAGTTCTCCCAGGGTCTCTTCCACTGTTCAAAACACCCCGCGAAATCCTTTGTTGGAATCACCATCAGCTGCCCTGTTGTGTTTGCCTGAATTTCATCAAAGTCCTGAAATATCTTCCCTTTCAAAGGTGATTAGTTTTGGGAAAAGCCAGAAGTCACAGGGCACCAAATCTGAGCTATAGTGGGGCTGAGTCACCTGGGTGATTTAATGTTTTGCCAAAAAACTCTGTATGAGACGTGATGCATGAACAGGTGCATTGTCACCATAAACCTGCCAATCACTAGTTGCCCGTAGCTGTGGTCATTTTTGTTGTATTGCATCTCTCAACTGACGAAGAACACTGAGGTCGTACTACTTATTGTCTGGCCAAGAGGGGCGTACTTGTGATGACAACACATTCCTAATAAAAAAACACAGTTAATGTGATCTTGATCTTGTTGCAAGTTCACTGAGCCTGCTTTGGGTGTGGACAACCAGGTGACTTCCATTTGGACGACTGGACCTTCGTTTCCGGATCACAGCTGTAGATCCACAATTCCTCTCTGGTTATGACCTTCTTGAGGAAACCTGGTTCATTGGTAATGGTTTGAATCAAGTCATTAGCAACTGCATGATGTTCCTTCTGTTCTGGTAGCAGAAGGCATGGGACAAATTTTGCTATGACATATTTCAGGCCATGGTCCTGTGTCAAAATCTTGGAAACAGTAGTTTTTGGAATCCCCAGGTCAGCTTCAAGTTCTCGCAGTCAGTCGCCAATCTTTGTTGATTGCAGCCCACACATGTTCAACATTCTTGGGTGTTCTGTTTGTTGCAGGCCTTCCAGAACATCAGTCACTTTCAACAGAGTTTTGACCCTTTTTAAAGTGTTTGTGCCATTTTTATTTGTACTGTACTCATTGCATCATCCTTGAAAGCCTTCTGAATCATCTGAATAGTTTCTGTGGAGTAATGTTCGAGCTTAATGCAAAATCTGGTGCAGATTCATGCTCTACTCACTTGGTCATTTTGAATGCCATGGCCACACAGTACACATGCTCACTCGATGGCGTCTACCAGCCCCAGTGACTAGTACAGTGAAGTTGTCATTGTTACGCATGCACATTCTAGTCCACTCTCTTTGGCTGCCAGGTTATATCAATGCTGCACAAACTGTTTTTGTTATATTGACAATGGCTGGACCTTTTCTGGACAGACCTTGTACGTGTTTCCAAAATAAAAAATGACATAAGGCAGGGGTGTCAAACTCACTTTTACTGGGGGGCTACATCAGCTTTGCGGCTACCTTCAAAGGGCTGAATGTGGAGTTCCTTGCCCCTAGTTAAGGAGTAGTTGCATTTATACAGTCCTAAAATGACCACGAGGCTGATGTGGTCCCCAGTGAAAATGAGTTTAATACTCCTGACATAAGGCAAATCAATTATTTTCAGTTTACAGAGAAGCACTGTGCTAATTTTCCATGGTACAGACAGGAGGCTGACTGCTCTACTTGCACCTTTGAATTTTTTTTTTTAAAGATTTTATTTATTTATCTTTAGAGGGGAAGAGGGGAAGGAGAGAGGGAGAGAAACATCAATGTATGGTTGCCTTTTGTGCTTCCCCTGCTGGGAACTGGCCTGTAGGGAACCGGCCTGCAACCCAGGCATGTGCCCTGACTGGGAATCGAACCGCGATCATGTGGTTCGCAGGCCCGCGCTCAACCCACGGAGCTACACCAGCCAGGGCTTTGAATTTTTATATTTACTATTTCAGTTTATATCTAGGAAAGCAATTTTGAAATCAACTTTTCAAATGACACACTAAGCAATGGCCAACAATTGCTTCTACTTGTTTCAATTTCCAGCAGAAAAAGGGCACCGACTGCTTGTTGGTCCTGGGTATGTACCATGCCACTTACCAAGCGATAGGTCTGGGCTTTTAGAACATTAAGATCAATAAAATTTTCTTCATTGTCTGTCTCTTCTTCCTTAGAAAATAAGAGTTTTAAAAGTTAAAAATTATAGAAAGGTACCATTTAAAAAAATGTATTTACAACTTTCACATATACCAGTTCTATATAAAGACTAATGCAGGAAAGGGTATTTGAAAGCCTAGTAATGCATGTAAACTTATTAGCAGCTCATCTGTTTTTTGAGGTTTTGATGGTGCCATTTAAAACAGGCCTTTTTTTAGCAGTCACTGAAACAAGGTGGTGGGGGAAGCAAAGGAGGGAGATGCAATTACTGTAGATCTACAGATAAACATAAAAACAAGAAACAGCCCCAAGTAGCATATCTAAAATAGTGGAGAAAGTTAACAGAAATTTTGAATAACATGACTAAGGTAAACAGAAATGAGAGGCTGACAGACAGAATATTCTAGAGACCAATCACATTAATGAGTATTTTTGATATTTCATCTTATATGTTGACATTTAATCAGTTAATAAGTTAAGTCACCAGTAGTGCCTGGTCAATGGTTCCTAAATCTATTTAAAGATATGAAATATATAGATTTAAGACATTAACTTTGTATCTTAGGTATTAACTACCTAAAAAAGTAGTTCAGATGGATTCCAAGTTGGTCCTGAACCCTGGACCAACTGCGGTAGAGGGCAGGGTCAGAAGTGACCCTTGGAAGGGTAATCCTTTTCTCAACAGAAAGTAAATATGGAGTCTGAGCAGGTTCTATAAGCATGTAGGACGAAACATTAGCTCCCCCTTCCCTTCAAGTGTTTTTGTGGTGACAAGTGACATACTGGGTGAAATAAATTCAACAAGAATATTGGAAGCTTAGGGATATGGCAATAAAGCCAACAAGGCTTGGTCCTCAATTCTCGTAAAGAAAAATAGTGGTGGGTGTTGTTTGGTGGACAATTCTACATGTAGAGCTAAACAAAAGCATCAGATTTCAAAGATAACGCTCGTTTTCAAGAACTTGAAAGTACCTAAGATAGTGGTTCTCCAAAGGCCGTTCTGAGACGAGCAGCATCAGCACGACATGGAAGCCTGTAAGAAGGCCAAGTCTATGGCTCCATCCTAGGTCTACTCAGAATCTCTGGGGGTGGAGCCACTAAAGCAAGATGTGAGAACTATGCTAATACTTGGGCCTAGAGAGATTTTAGTAAAGTATAAAACAATATGAATGCAGTTTTCTTCCACATGCTCGAGTGATGTTTACTTTTTTAGGGAGAGGGCAGTGGGGCATAGAGACGCAGACAAAACTGATCTGTTTACATCTTAAATCCTATGCCTATATGCAGACACACATCTTTGAAAAGTGGCTCGGTCTATTCTGTGTTTGCACTAATGACAGTCTGCTTAACAAGGAGAGTAAATGACTGAAATGCCAATGACTGAAAATGCTCATGGGAGAAGAGACGAGTTTATAATGCTTTTGCAATAACCTATTGAGTACTTGTTTACACATGTGATCAATAAATACTTGTTGAATTGTACTGGATTGAACATTAATAGGTAAAAAGCTTTCATAGTAGGTACTAGGATAAGAATTTAAGTTACTAAACATCATTAAGAGAGCATTCAAAAGGAATTTGAATATAAACAGACTTAGAGAAAAAAGCTTTAAAATAAAATGAGAATTCTAACCTCAGTAATTTAGAAGGCACTCAACAATTTCCTATCATTTCTTTGCCTTATATGCACACTCATAATTCTGTTACTGCCAATTACTAAGGACACGATTAAATACAGTGGATGAGAATATTCTGTCAGGACCAATACTTGCCTTTTTTTACAGTTATTATTGTATCCTATCACGATTTGGCCAGTCTAAAACTGAAGGTTTTAGTTTCTAGATGATTATAGTAGAACTTTGTCAGAAATTATCTTTATCATCCACCCTTGAGCCACTCCACAAACTGTGGTAACAAAATGAAGTAATATCTAATCATCCAAATGCTTTTTAGCATTGATCCAGTTCTCCTTACCCTGAGCAATGGGACAGGTAAGAGGATCCTTTAGAGTATAATGACAATAAGAAAAGAACGGAGTGAAAAAACCTTCCAGAGACATGACTAAGGGAACTAATAGCTTCAGAGGCAAACCTTTGAGGAAGGCCTTTGAGTTTGGTGTTATGGCAATAGACGGTGTTTACCTCATGGTTGGGAAGAAATGTGTGATGAGGCTGCTTTCTAGTTTATTTCTCTAATTTACATGCCTCATAATGCTGCTTTAAACTTTAAAGTGTTCTCAGAAAAAAATTAGCTACAATTTCTCAAAGTTATACAGCAATATGCTGACAGATGATTTTGTGGCCAAATATTTAATAAACACCTACTGTGCACCATGCCCTGAGCAATAAACTGGAAATGAAAAAAAAAGCACAAAATTGTTTCTGCCCTTATAGGGTCATTTTTCTGACTAGTATGTTTTTATACTTTTTTTCTGAACTGGCCGTTTCAAGTTCTATCTCTTTAAAGCTAAATGTTGATGCACTGGGACCAGGTATCTGTCAATAAACTAGTAACTAATAAACAGCTATTATAAAGACAAGAGGAGAAATATACCTGAGTAAAAAAATGAAGTGAACACCTGGGAAAATGTGAGATCTTAAAAGTTTCTGAGCCTGAAAGGAAAGATCTAATACACGAAGAATAATGTCTAACCTCCTAAAATGCCCCAAATGCTAAGTACCTGGCCTGTCTTCCCAGTTCGTCTTAAGCCACCTTCCCCCTCACCCAGGACGTCTGGCCACGAGGGTTCCTCCCCAGTTCCTGGGTCAGGCTAAGTTCCTTTCTGCCTCAGAGATGCTGTACCACCAGGGTCTTACCCACTGTCTGCTACATAACAGGTGTTCAACAAACATGGGCAGAATGAATGAATATATTTTTACCTTAATTTTTAAAATACATTCTGTCAAAAAAAAATCTTTCAAATTGATTATTTTCACAATGGTGTTTTTCCTTCAGTAAAACATGTTAAATATTTTAAAAATACAAAGCACAGAAAAAATTATTCGTAATCTTGCTACCTATATATAGCTAATGTATAGCTATAGTTAACAGTTAACATATTAACATTTGTCTTTTTTTGCACATACCTGAGTTATTCAGATAGTATGTGACCATGCCCATGTCACATTTTTCTGTAAACAATTTTTTCCCTTAAATAGTATTTATTTATTAGAAAAATGTATATTTGGTTTGTGGTACAGTCATACTATGAATAAGTATTTCATTTCCCATGACTTTAAAACCTAGTAATTTAATAATATGTACTCAGTGGTATACATTTGTTGTAGGGGGCAAAGTAGGTTTTTTAAAACGCATTTTTAATGATAATTGACAAACAATATTATATTAGTTTCAGATGAATGACATAGTGATTCAACATTTATATACCTTAGGAAGTGATCACCATAGTTAGTCTAGGAATCATCATCTGTCACCATATATATTTATGATATTATTCACTATATTCCTTATGTTGTACACTACATCCTTATAACTTATAAATGTAACTGTGCACTTCTTACAAACAACTTTAAAAAAACAATTTTTCATGGACATGCCATATCCTACTACTTGAATATAGTCTAAGTTCTTTTTTTTTTTAATCTTTAGAAGGGAAGGTAAGGAGAGAGGGAGAGAAATATCAATGTATGGTTGCTTCTCGTGCATCCCCTGCTGGGAACTGGCCCCTGCTGGGAGCTGGCCTGCAACCCAGGCATGTGCCCTGAATGGGAATTGAACCGCGATCTTTTGGGTTCGATTGAGCACAACCCAGGCCTGTGCTCAATCCACTGAGCTACACCAGCCAGGGCTAGCCTAAGTTCTTTAATGGTTATTTTTAGCACTTGCTATAAAACAATGCAGTGACTAATGTCTTTTTATCATATAGTAGCTTAATAAATTACTTTAAGCTGAAATATAGAATATACTTATTCTACATTAATTTTAAAATCACTTAGAAAATTTAACTGACTTATGAGAGTAAAATACACTGCCATTTTGATTGCAGATCACAGCTATACTTCCTAAAACACCGGTTTAATCCATCTCTGGTTCTGAGAAAGAGCTCTCTGTTTCTGCCGTTTTACTAGTCTAATCTGTTGTTGAGACTTGATCATTTAGAGTTACACTACTGACAGAATGTTAAGAATGAGAAAAAGCTCACATGCTGCCAAACAATTTAAATAATACTAATGTTTTACAAATATTTTTAAAGTTCCTGCATTTAAAATTTTTAAGTTTTAAAATTAGTATTTATGCTCAATTTGAAAGCATAATGTAGTTCCTGAGAAATGAACGGTATTCTTATGAAGCAGAATGTATTAATCCTAAATTCTATTATTCTGTTTTAAATTGTTTATTATTTATGACTATTTAAGGTCATGAATAGTTAATAAAATGTTTACTCATATAAGTAGTAGTCTACTACCTCCTGTCTACAAATTAAGAACCTCCGCTGAAATCCCAACTTCAATCATTATAGAACATGAGCATTAACTTAACTGAAGGTTTAAACTGAACATGGTACTCTAAAAACTTTTTATCTCTAGAATAATGTAATAAATTATATTCCAGAAAATGGAAAGCTAGGAGAATTAAAAGAAGGAAAAAATCCACAGGTGAAAATGAACAAAAATTCAGTAACACTCATACCACAAATTCTTCATCCACTTTATTTAACATTAATTCTGCATCATCTTCTGGAACAGTTTCTTCTTCTAATTCTTCCACTGGATATGTTGGTCTAAGAGAATGAAGCTTAATATGAGATGAGAGTTGAAAACAAAACAAAACATTTTAGTAGGACAAAAAGTATATATGATGTGAATATTAAGGATCTCCTCTACAACAGACATTGTCTTATTCTACCCCTCTTCCACAATCACTGTTAAATATTTCGTGTATTCTCAAAACTTTCTGTATAAAGAAGCAAAAATGTTCACCTCCAAATTTAAAGAATAAATTTACATAAACAGGCTACTATCATGCATATTGTTACCCTATATAGTTTCTTCACTTACTAATATACCACAATTAAGTACCTGTACATATATCTCTCCCCTCTCTATCACCTGCATGCATTACATTTAACAGCAATTCCATGATATTACTTAACTAGTAACCTATGGCTGAACATTGAGGTTATTTCTAGTTTTTTTACTAGACCATATTGCAGAGGTCATCATTGAATATTTATCATTATGTATACCATTAAAATAGCTGGTTCAAGACCTTTGTACATTTTATTGTTTTGCTAGATATCGCCAAAACCAACTTCTATTATGTTACACTTCCAACAACACTGACTCCGTTTCTACATATTCACCAATATTACCCAAACTTTAATCTTTGTCAATCATTTAAGTAAAAATTTCTCATTCTTGTTTTAATTGTATTTCCTTCATATGGAATTGGTTGAATACCTTTTCTTGTTTTAATCGATTATCTGTGTTTCTTTTTCAGAAAAATGACTATTTATGTTCTTTGGCCTCCTGTATATTAAGAAAATTAATTGGCCTAACTTGTGTTAAAAATAATTTCCAAGTTTATTACTTATAATCTTGGCTATGCAGGACTGTTACAATTTTTATGACATTGATTTTACAACATTTTCACACATCAATCGTAATTTTAACATCATACAACATATCCCACACCCCTTTGGTTTTTTAGTACTACTACAGTCTCATTTTTCATACTGATATCTTTGATCAATCCAAAATTTATTTCTGTAGAAGTACTAAGAAGAGCTCTGGCTTTATTCTAATTACCAAAATCTAATCAGAGGTCCTAACACTAAATATAGAACAATCACTTCTCCATCAAAATTAAGAACATGTGGACTTCTGACCAAAATGATGGCGTAGGTAGACACACTGTACTTCCTCGCACAACTAAAAGAAGGGCAATGACCAATTTAAAAACAAAAACTACCAGAACTGACAGAAAATTGAACTGTATGGAAAAGTCCAACACCCAAGGAGTTAAAGAAGACACATTCAACCAGACGGGTAGGGGGGCGGAGACAGGCGGCCAGACAGGGTGGACCCACATTCGTGTGCAGATAAAGATAAACTGAGAGGAACAACTGGGGAGTGAGACAGACCAAGCAACTTAGGGTTACAGTGTGGGAAAATAAAGTCTCAAGGACCCTGAATGAAAACACCTGTGGGAGTTGAGGAGGAGGGAGAAACTCCCAGCCTCACACTGGAGAGACCTAGACCCACAGGGTCCTAGAATGTACACAAACCTACCCACCCAGGAATCAGCACCAGAAGGGCCCAATTTGCTTGTGGGTAGTGGAGGAAGTGACTGGAAACTGGCAGAGAGTGGAGGAGGCGGCACTGTTCCCTCTCGGACCTCTCCCCTACATACAGCATCACCACACAGTGACTTGGGTTGCCCCACCCTGGTAAATGCCTAAGGCTCCACCCCTTATTATATAACAGGCCCACTGAGACCAAAAAAAATAAATAAATAAGGCCCAAATGAAGAACAGATCAAAGCTCCAGAAAAAACACAACTAAGCAATGAAGAGATAGCCAACCTATTAGATGCACAGTTCAAAACACTGGCAATCAGGATGCTAGACAATTGGTTGAATATGGTTGTAAATCAGAGGGAAAAATGAAGGCTATGCTAAATGAAACAAAAGAAAATGCACAGGGAACCAACAGTAACGAGAAGGAAACCAGGACTCAAATCAATAGTTTGGACCAGAAGGAAGAAACATTCAACCAGAACAGAATGAGGAAACAAGAATTCGAAAATATGAGGAGAGGCTTAGGAACCTCCAGGACATCCTTAAACTTCCCAACTTCTGAATCACAGGGGTGTCAGAAGGAGAAGAAGAAGAGCAAGGAAGGAATGGAAAACTTATTTGAAAAAATAATAAAGGAAAACTTCTCCAATCTGGTAAAGAAAATAGACTTCTAGGAAGCTCAGAGAGTCCCAAAGAAGTTAGACACAAGGAAGTACACACAAAGGCACATCATAATTACATTACCCAAGACTAAACAGGGGAGAATCTTAAAAGCAGCAAGAGAAAAGGAAAAAATTACCTACAAAGGAGTTCCCATAAGACTATCAGCTGATTTCTGATAAAAAACATTTCACACAAGAAGGGGCTGGAAAGAAGTATTTGAAGTCATGAAAGGCAAGGATCTGCATCCAAAATTACTCTATCCAGCAAAGCTTTCATTTAGAATGGAAGGGCAGATAAAGTGTTTCCCAGATAAGGTCAAGTTAAAGGAGTTCATCATCACCAAGCCCTTATTATATAAAATGTTAAAGGGACTTAACCAACAAAAAGAAGATAAAAAAATATGAACAGTAAAATGACAACAAACTCAGTTATTAACAACCAAACCTAAAACAAAAACAAAAATGAACTAAGCAAACAACAAGAACAGGAACAGAATCACAGAAATGGAGGTCACATGGAAGATTATCAGTGGGAAAGTGGGAGGGGGAAAAGGTACAGAGAATAAGTAGCATAAATGATAGGTAGAACACAGACAGGAGGAGGTTAAGAACAGTATAGGAAATGTGAAAGCCAAAGAACTTATATGTATGACCCACAGACACAAACTAAAGGTGGGGAATGTGGGTGGGAGGGTGTGTGCAGGGTAGAGGGGAATAAAGGAGGGAAAATGGGACAGCTGTAATAGTATAATCAATAAAATATATTTAAAAAAATTAAGAACATGTATTTCCCATATTAAAAATACCAGAAGTAGTTAATTCATTTCTGGAAACTTGTTTAAAACACTCATACCTGCGACAAGTTAACAAAATACAAAAATCAACATTAATATTAAGGAAAAAACTAATGCAAACAAATCAATTTCTTTAAAGAATAAATTTTCAGCCCTGGCTGGTGTGGCTCAGTGGATTGGCACAGGCCTGCAAACCAAAAGGTTGCTGGTTTGATTCCCAGTCAGACCACATGCCTAGGTTGCCCACCAGGTTCCCAGTAGGGGGCGTGCAAGAGGCAACAACACATTGCTGTTTTTCTCCCTCTCTTCCCCTCTCTCTAAAAATAAATAAAATCTTTTAAAAGGCAAACAGTTAACTAGTAGCATAAGGATGAGTAGAAAAGAGAGAGCGAGAGAAATTAATTAATGGAGGATCAAGTGGAAGTTGCACAGAATTCCTCTCAGGACCCAACTGGAATTACAACCAATCTGTAGAGAAATCATCCTGAATAACCAATTGTACATTAGCTGGAAAGAAGCCTTATAACCACAGACAGAAGAAACGATATCACTGCAACGTGACTGAGGGGGAGATGTGAGAGGGCTGGCTGGGCTCCTAGTGGCAATGGCTGAAGTTCTGAGGGGTTACTGCAGTGGCCTGGGGATCCCCCCAAGAAGTGTGGGGACCCCGTCCTACTGCACCAGAACTGGGAAAGGAACCTAGATGACATCTGGCTGTGAAAAGCAGCAGGGTTTCTGTATGCCAGGCTGAGATGGCTAGAGCAGCATTGGCCCTCTTAAAGGGCCAATGCACAAAATTTCATTTGTAGCCATTCACCCTGGGCTCAGGCAGAGAGAGGGCAGAGTGAACTAGAGATGTATGAGAGTCTGGGGTTGGCAACTCTGGGGAGAGAACTGAAGGAAGAGCCACCAGGATCTCCATACCACATGGGTTCTTTCTCAGGCAGAACAATCCCCTCCAAGTGGCATCAGCCTGAAGGAAAGCAATAGCACCTCCTTGTGACTCCACAAGCTGCTGAATATAGCTTAGTGATTAAGTACAACAGCTAAGGCAGATCTCTGGGAGCTCTGACCCTCCCTTGATCCAGGTACTGCTAAAAGCAAGCCTTGGTGCACAGCCTGGTTCTTTCAGTACAAAACAGGCCCAGCAGAGGGAGCCACAAGCTGTGGATCACTGATAGCTCCAAAGAGGTTGCCCACAGCCACTCACAGGCAGCATCTGGCTAGGTCTGCACCAGAGTCCATGCAGATCTACCTAATAGAAATAAACAGAAAGAAGCAGCCAAAATGGGAAGACAAAGAAACAGGCCCCAGATGAAAGAACAAGAGAATTCTACAGAAGAACTAAATGAAATGGAGGCAACCCATGTATCAGATAGAGAGTTTAGAGTAATGATTATAAGAATACTCAACAGCATGAAAAAAAAAGACATAGAAACCATAAAAAAGGACCAGTCAGAAATAAAGAATGAAATATCTAAAATAAATAATAGACTGGAAGGAACAGTAAATTAGATAAAGCAGAGGACTATATCAGCTATTTGGAAGAGAAGGTAGAAAAAACACCCAGGCACAGCAGTAAAAAGAACAAAGAATTTTTAAAAAATGAGGAGAGCTTAATAAACATTTGGGACAACATGGAGCATAATAACATCCAAATCATGGGAATACCACAAGGACAGTGAGCAAGGGATGGAGAACCTATTTGAAGATAATGACCAAATTCCTAGTCTGGTGAAGTAAAAAGATACACAAGTTCAGGAAGCACACAGGGTTCCAAATAAGATGGATCCAAAGAGGCCCACACCAAGAAACATCACAACTAAAACGGCAAAGTTTAAAGACAAGGAGAGAATCCTAAAAGCCACAAGAGAAAAGCAGGAAGCTCTAATTAGACCAGGGGCGTCCAACTCATTTTCACCCGGGGCCACATCAGCCTTGTGGTCGCCTTCAAAGGGTGGAATGTAACTTTAGGACTGTGTACATGTAACTGCTCCTTAACAGTTAAGTGAGAGATCGATGCTGC